AACCTATAGGTAAGTCATACTGTACTACAACCTAGAGGTAAGTCATACTGTACTACAACATACAGGTACGTCATACTGTACTACAACCTATAGGTAAGTCATACTGTACTACAACCTACAGGTAAGTCTTACTGTACTACAACCTACAGGTAAGTCATACTATACAACAACTTATAGGTAAGTCTTACTGTACTACAACCTACCGGTAAGTCATTCTCTGCTACAACCTACAGGTAAGACATACTGTAGTACAACTTATAGGTAAGTCTTACTGTACTACAACCTACCGGTAAGTCATACTGTGCTACAACCTACAGGTAAGTAATACTGTACTACAACTTATAGGTAAGTCATACTGTACTACAACATACAGGTACGTCATATTGTACTACAACCTACAGGTCAGTCATGCTTCACTATAGACCGTGTTATGTAGCCTGTAGTATGCTTCTTGTGAACTAGCGTTTGGTAAACAAGGATTTAAACTTCTTTCTGAGCCTTTTTAACGTAGGACGCAGCTGTTCAAAACAGTAAAATATATCTGTTTAGCGTTTGCGTACACAAATATACAAAGTTAAAATCTACAAAGTTAAACGTTGAATTATTCATGTTTTGTTGGGTTATGAATTAGAACGAATATAGTCTGTTAATTATAATTTTAACATACTGTCGTGTGTGACCTTAAGACCGTTGTATAACATTATATATGGATTCATATATGATTTGAATAGAGAATTCAAACCACTCTGACACATGCAAGCTGTCACCAGCATTGATATTCTTAGATACTAGATGGAAGAGTAATAACATTTAGATAAAAAATATAAAGCAATAATTTTAGAGAAATATCTCAATACTACGTAAAATATTCCTACTTTTTAATTATACCAAATTTAAGTATTTTCTAACTACCCGACCACATCATACGGTGTTATTTATATGTAGAAAAAAACAATTCAAAGGTTTATTGTAAGAATGAATACTGTGAACATACTGCACCATTGGGAATTGAAATGATAGACACTCATGGATTGCTTCTGGAGGCGTGTAGACAAGGCCATCTATAATGGTTCGGAGAAACAGAAACTTTTGGACAAGAAACAAATGTAATGTATACTATTTTCATATGCAAAATCTAGACAAACTCACTTTACGACTATATTTAAAAATACGAGTGAGACTATGTTTTAAAGTGTTTTTTTCTTGTAGGATACTTGATAAGATTTATTTGAAAACAATCAATTGAGTATTGTATAATATAATTTCCATAGTTAAAAATGAGAAACATTGTCATTATTGTAAAATTTTGTTGAGGCGGTATTCAAGAGAGTTCTCCGGATATCCTGATTTCTGTGATTACAGACTGCTGATTAAAACGTTTTACAATACAGGGTTTCGACAAAGATAGGTTGATGAAAACTACGGGCAGGTTATATGGTCGCCATCAGGATTTCATTTCATTTCAAAACATTTTATTAAATCAAGTGATTTAATGAGAATTGGGCAACAGGCTATGCCTATACAAGCCCTCTCCCCCAAAAAATCATAGTTCAAATAGATGGCTACTAAAAATACACACTAATATTTACAAAATATTCACACATATATATTATCTCTCGTTGACTCACTTTATGTGATAGTGCATCTTGCGCAAGAATAGGACCTCTACATATATTTAGTAGTTAAAGAGTTTTCTAGAGGGATTCTTCTCCAATTTTGGTTATTATTTGGCGGGTCGTCGTTTTGTTTCATTGGGCGAGTAGCTTAGTGCACTTTCGCTATAGAGCAGAGCCAGCGAACTTTCTGATATTTAGACTATCAGCGTTCCTTGTCCGCGATGCTCTCAGCTTAATTGCTGCCTTCCGCTGTCTTCAGCCGAGGGGACTATTGGTTTTATATTATAGCTATATTTCCAATTATAGTATATCAGTTCTATCTTCTTGTAATATGATGTATATGTACATGTAACTGTTCTGTTTCACTGTGTCTTGATAAAGGAGCGTATCGCTCCGAAAATTTGACAACCTAAACTTGTCCACACTGTTGGAATTATTTCTTTGCCCCATATACTACTTTAAGTAATTCGTATCCTACGGACATAACTCCATTAGAATCCAGTGTTATATGATATTTTACCGTCTATATTACTTCTTTGACCCATATTCAAACATGTGCATACATATGCGTAATCCAGGTCAAAATACATATGCTTTTGATGAAAGTGAAATATCAACATTTAACAAATATACAAGAAACATCATTTTAATTACTCTATAGCAGAACAAATTGCCAATATTTTCAGTATAAGTTAAATTTTAATACTATAATAACCAGTCCCCCAACACCACCCCACTCCGGATATCAATTATAACTGGGCAGCCTTAAAATGTCCATAGTACAACCACTGTGTACTTACCCATTCATTGCTTATCCAGAGCAGAAGCCATGCTGAGGGAATAGGTACTCATAATCATATGCATACAGACATGTAAACACTGGATCAAATATCCTATATGGTGTTTTTCCATTCTGAGAGCCTATAAGTGTGCTAATGGTCTCTATCTATCTCTGAACTAAGCCATGTGTGTATACTGCATTTGTAGATAATCAAATTTTATAATTTTTACAACATTTAATTATATCAAAAACTGGAACCCCATTAAATACAGTAAATATTAAATAGTATTAGTTGAATAATTTGTAACACCAACTATTCCTCCATCACCACTCCTACTCCAGATAACAACTATAACTGGGCAGCACTAAAATGTCAATACAGACCACCACTGTGTGCTTACCCATCCACTAATAATCCAGAGCAGGAGCCGTGTTGAAGGAGTATTCATATAAACATGTATACATACACATTGGGACTAGAATTAACAGTTAGTTTAAAGCCTGTTAGTAGACTCAATATATTTCTGCACACAGACACAAATAGCAGAATTAAGATCATGATTAAGGTGGTTACTTCCCCTTGTTAGTATATTGATATTATTTACTAAATGTTCAATCAGGGTTAAGTCGAGATTTAAATGTAGGTTTAATTGAATGTCAAGCTGCAAATGAGACAGAGATTCTAATAGGTTTTGTCTTTGGATTATATACCTAGGGCAGTATAGAAAGAAGTAAGGGGGTCCCTAAAAAGATCAGAATTTAATTGACTTGCATGGTTTCTAAGTTGACATAAAATGACGTTGAAAGGTCTAGTCCCTCCATATTTAAAAGCATTTGTACGTATCCTCAGCATTAGGAAGAATGTCATGATGGACGAGTTGCTTTTTAAGTTCAATTACCGACCTTTAAATTATAATAACTAAAATCGGATCTATTCCACCAAGACATCATACTAGGAAAGAAATTGTTAAAATATATATTAGTTCTGCAAATGGGTGTTTGAAATATACGTTGATGTCGAATATCATGAGTCACTAAGTCATTGTTTATAATATAAGGTTCAATGTTTTCAAACAGATAATTAGGGGTATCACGGTTTGTTATTTAAAAAATAGCATATGTTGCTGGTCATTTCTGCGTTTCTAAAGAGTATCCCATCCTAGTTCATTATCAATGACAGCATGACTAGTACCCCTACGTAATCCAGTAACCAGTCTCGCAGCATTTAGACGGATGGATTTAAGAAGATCGGATTCTGTCTGATTACAATTATTCCACAAAACACTTGCATACTCAAGTTTTTGACGAATATAAGATTTGTATATTATTTCTATCGATTTCCTGTCGAGCCTATACTTAAGTGATCTGAACAGATTCAATTTTTATATGTTTTTTCATAAATAAAATTGATGTGGTCTGACCATGAACCCTGACAATTAAGAAAAACTCTAAGATGTTTATGCTTTTTTACGTTTGCCACAATGTTTTTAATGAATATAAGGTCAGGATATAGTCCATCAGTATTATGTTTGTTTGAAATTAGAAGGGCTTTTGTTTTGTTGGGATAAAATACTATACCCCATCTATTTGCCCACATAGATATTCTATTAAGATCATTATTTATCATGATTTCACTTGGAAATACGTATATCCTTATGTTATATGAAAGGCTATGTATTATGTATTTGATTTTACTCATTAGTATTTACTGGTGTTGTTATTACACCGGACACTGCTTTGAGGACGTGAAATTACTTGGCTTGGATTAAGATTTCAATTGCGGGAGTAGTAAATGAAGTAGCTTTCCATTTGGTAACACCAAGTCTTATTATCAACGATCGGCATGTTGATATTGTTAAGGAATAACCAGGATTATTTAGGGTTAAACGGTATAAACCGAAAACAATGTGTGCACTTCACATAAATCCGCGAAGGTTAAAGTTCAGTAAGACCTGTAAGTTGTAGTTCAATAATTCTAGTTATCCTTTTCATTTAATTAAAAGAGTCAGAAACTTTCTTTAATCAATACTTAGTAAATATCTATTAATTTCTGAAAAAATCAAACTAATATTGCACAAAACACAACAATACGCAGTAGTTTTAATCGCCAAGCAATTACAACGAATCAGAAGTTAAAATTACTGCGCCAAATACTGCTGTTTACGACGTCATCACTTTTTGTGTGTGGTTTGTTTTTTTAGGTTATACAATCAAAAAATAAAAAAGTCTACCAGTTGGAAAATAGCCAAAACTAAATTGTGCCAATATTTTTTATTTATATTTTCCCTAAGTTGTAATCATTTTTAGTTCAAACTATGATTTGTTTTACACTTCGTTATTCTCTTATTATGGTTTTATAAACAGCACACATATCTTTAAAACTATTAAGTTTTCATATAGCTTCATATATTATTTATATTGTGTTGACATAAGAGTGGGCACTTATTTCTTTAAAACACGATGAACGATATCATGTAGTAAACGACTTACACTTCCATTTTCTGTCTGTCTGTCTGTCTGTCTGTCATTTTGCCGCATAGGGGTTTATTGATGTCTTTGAAATTGTAGTAATTGATCTGTCTGTTTCAGCAATGACCCGATACCTCTTAATGATGCAGGGATTCTGTCCTACTTATCATTAGGGTGGCTGACCCCACTTATATTGAAGCTTTTCAAAGACAGAGATAAAGAAATCAGAGAGGATGATGTGTGGACATGTTCAGAACTGGAGGGTTGCGCCATCAACACAGAACAGTACTTATACAGGATTACTCAAATAACAAATTATTCTCAAATAAGCTAAAAGACCAGTTTAAGTAGTTGTTTTATTAATATCAATTTAAAGCCATTAGGGAGTAAACGCGTGACACAATTAGAGAATGATAAAATGCATTGTTAAATCATCACAAATATGGATATTTTTCTGGTACACCTATGTAATGTTAAATGAACATTTGTAGTTATCTTAATACATACCTGTTTGAATTGTGTCCTACATATATAGAAGGCACGGTAGTCCAGTGGTAGGACGCCGGGCTCGTGACCGAATGGTGGCAGGTTCGAGTTACGTAATGTAAATGAGTACGCTGTTGGGCAGTGCTAGAATTATAGAATGCTAGCTGTGAAAGTCGAAATGGCAGCACCGGCTGTATGCTCCCCAAAGAGTTGAGAAAGATATCGACTGGTTGCAAAGGCCCTATAACCACGAATACAAATGTGTGAACCACTTTGAGACGACCTACAAACTAGGTTGTGATAAATCGGTATAAAAGAACCTCGAGTTATTATTTTTATTATTATATTGAGTTAACATTATGACATATAACATCTTTCCTTTGTCAGGTTGGAACCAATGTGGATGGATGAACTACAGACCTATGGACGAACAAAATGCTCAATCTTCAGACTGTGGCTGAAATTCATATGGGTTCGCCTGCTGATTGTATTTATAGCCCTCTGTTTAAACGCCGTAGTAACCTTTCTCATAACCGTTAGTAGCATTTTTGTTTTCTTCAATTGTAACAAAATCGTAAATTAAACATTCCCATGTTGTTCGTAAGGTTATTGGATTAATAATCCTTTCCAAATCTCACAAACATCCATGAAGTGAAAGGGCTCTTTAAGATAGAGACGAGTAAATTTCAAATATATTACATATTAATTACGAGTTTTTTCTTAATATATATATGCAAATATATATCTTTTGAAATAGACAGAATATTATATGTATATTAATGTATATGTATCTTTAATATAATACTTTATAAACGGCCAAAATAGAGTATTATCATCAACATTTGTTTTTCATTAGAAGAAACACTGACTGTTTAAACGAGAAGGGATTTTACTGGACACATTGACTACGTTTTTTATGAGACTATATTTCTGTTTGATTATGTCTCCATTTATTGTCAGCACACAAATAATATATGTTATGCATGTCAATCTTTCAGGGTTATATTACCGATGTTATAACAGCATACCTAGAAGGCCCGGAAACATCTATTTCCTACGCCGTGGGTTTAGTAATAGCTTGCCTCGTCGGACAACTTCTTCGAAGTTACTCCTTTACATTTCTCCTCTTCTTTGGATCGCAAACAGGCAAGTTGTTATTAAAATGGTGTAGATTTCTGACTTTGATGGATCTTGAAGCATCTTGAAGGGTCGCGTTTATGTTACACTCTAATAGATGGGATCTGTTAATGTTTTAAAAATATTCAGAAAAATGCCTACCAGTTTGAAAAAATATGTTCATAATATGTAAAGAATTGATCGTTCAAAATCTTGGAATCAAAAGTGCATTTTTCCGTCCTGAATTGATATCCTTATTTAGCAATTCAATATGGATTTTATTTATATCTACATTTCAAAATGAAATTTATCCGAATAAGAAGGCGTTATCACAAATTATGACGGTTTCATTAGATTAGATCCGATAAGAGTATAATATCAAATGTAATTGTCTCTTCATTTACTTGTGATATTTGAATGTATCTGGTTTACGCTGATTTGGTTTTTCCTCTGATTCTATTGTTGTCTTACATTTATGTTCAGACTTTGGTTCTGATTTTGTCATCCTGTATCAATTCTATAGTATTCTTTTTTTTCTCACTTTTTTTGACAACTAGGAACAAGGTTTAGGTCCGGAGTATTAGGCATGGCGTACAAAAAACTCCTGAAGTTAAAGAATATAAATGGAAAGATTGCTTCTGAGGTACGATTATTTTTTGTCAAATCAATAGAAATGTTAAAAAAAAACAATATATTAAATGAGATTACTACATAACTGTTGCTTGCCTTTAATGATTTTAGCTGGAAATTGTATCAAGCATTCTACATAAAACTCATCACCAAAAATACACAATAAGAAAGAACGTAATAAATGATTAAGGAAGTCTATACAGAAACCTACAAAGTAAATAATAAATGGACCATTAGGTCCAAACAAAGTGAAAAGTTACTGGACCATTAGGTCCAAACAAAGTGAAAAGTTACTGGACCATAAGGTCCAAACAAAGTGAATATTTACTGGACCATTAGCTCCAAACAAAGTGAAAAGTTACTGGACCATAAGGTCCAAACAAAGTGAATATTTACTGGACCAGTAGTTCCAAACAAAGTGAAAGGTTACTTGACCATTAGGTCCAAACAAAGGGAATATTTAATGGTCCATTAGGTCCAAACCAAGTGAATATTTACTGGTCCATTAGGTCTAAACGAATAATTACTGGTACATTAGGTCCAAACAAAGTGAATATTTACTGATTAGGTCTAAACAAAGTGAATATTTAGTGCTCCATTAGGGCTAAACAAAGTGAATATTTACTGGTGCATTAGGTCTAAACGAATAATTACTGGTACATTAGGTCCAAACAAAGTGAATATATACTTGACCATTAGGTCCAAACATAGTGAATTGTTACTGGACCATTAGCTCCAAACAAAGTGAAAAGTTACTGGACAATTAGGTCCAAACAAAGTGAAAAGTTACTGGACCATAAGGTCCAAACAAAGTGAATATTTACTGATTAGGTCTAAACAAAGTGAATATTGACCGGTCCATTAGGTCCAAACAAAGTGAATCGTTAATTGACCATTAGGTCCAAACAAAGTGAAATATCACTACTCAATAAGGTCCAAACAAAGTGAATCGTTACTTGACCATTTGGTCCAAACAAAGTAAATCATTACTTGACCATTAGGGCCAAACAAAGTGAATATTTAATTGTCCATTAGGTCCAACCAAAGTGAATATTTAAAGGTCCATTAGGTCCAAACAAAGTGAATCATTACTGGGCCATAAGGTCCAAACAAAGTGAATATTTACTGGTCCGTTGGGTCTAAACAAAGTGAATATTTACTGCTCCATTAGGGCTAAACCAAGTGAATATTTACTGGTCCATTAGGTCAAAACAAAGTGAATTTTTACTGGTCCATTAGGTCTAAACAAAGCGAATATTTACTGGTCCATTAGGTCTAAACAAAGTGAATATTTAGTGCTCCATTAGGGCTAAACAAAGTGAATATTTACTGGTGCATTAGGTCTAAACGAATAATTACTGGTACATTAGGTCCAAACAAAGTGAATATTTAATGGTCCATTAGTGAAAAGTTACTGGACCATAAGGTCCAAACAAAGTGAATATTTACTTGTCCAATAGGTCTAAACAAAGTGAATATTTACTGCTCCATTAGGGCTAAACCAAGTGAATATTTACTGGTCCATTAGGTCAAAACAAAGTGAATTTTTACTGGTCCATTAGGTCTAAACAAAGTGAATATTGACCGGTCCATTAGGTCCAAACAAAGTGAATATATACTTGACCATTAGGTCCAAACATAGTGAATAGTTACTGGACCATTAGGTCCAAACAAAGTGAAATATCACTACTCAATAAGGTCCAGACAAAGTGAATCGTTACTTGACCATTAGGACCAAACAAAGTGAAAAGTTACTGGACCATTAGGGCCAAACAAAGTGAAAAGTTACTGGACAATTAGGTCCAAACAAAGTGAAAAGTTCCTGGCCCATAAGGTCCAAACAAAGTGAATATTTACTGATTAGGTCTAAACAAAGTGAATATTTACTGGTCCGTTGGGTCGAAACAAAGTGAATATTTACTGGTCCGTTGGGTCTAAACAAAGTTAATAGTTACTGGTCCATTAGGTCTAAACAAAGCGAATATTTACTGGTCCATTAGGTCTAAACGAATAATTACTGGTACATTAGGTCCAAACAAAGTGAATATATACTTGACCATTAGGTCCAAACATAGTGAATTGTTACTGGACCATTAGCTCCAAACAAAGTGAAAAGTTACTGGACCATTATGTCCAAACAAAGTGAAAAGTTACTGGACAATTAGGTCCAAACAAAGTGAAAAGTTCCTGGCCCATAAGGTCCAAACAAAGTGAATATTTACTTGTCCAATAGGTCTAAACAAAGTGAATATTTACTGGTGCATTAGGTCTAAACGAATAATTACTGGTACATTAGGTCCAAACAAAGTGAATATATACTTGACCATTAGGTCCAAACATAGTGAATTGTTACTGGACCATTAGCTCCAAACAAAGTGAAAAGTTACTGGACAATTAGGTCCAAACAAAGTGAAAAGTTACTGGACCATAAGGTCCAAACAAAGTGAATATTTACTTGTCCGTTGGGTCTAAACAAAGTGAATATTTACTGGTGCATTAGGTCTAAACGAATAATTACTGGTACATTAGGTCCAAACAAAGTGAATATATACTTGACCATTAGGTCCAAACATAGTGAATTGTTACTGGACCATTAGCTCCAAACAAAGTGAAAAGTTACTGGACCATTAGGGCCAAACAAAGTGAAAAGTTACTGGACAATTAGGTCCAAACAAAGTGAAAAGTTACTGGACCATAAGGTCCAAACAAAGTGAATATTTACTTGTCCGTTGGGTCTAAACAAAGTGAATATTTACTGGTGCATTAGGTCTAAACGAATAATTACTGGTACATTAGGTCCAAACAAAGTGAATATTTACTTGTCCGTTGGGTCTAAACAAAGTGAATATTTACTGGTCCATTAGGTCCAAACAAAGTGAATTATCACTGAAACACTAGTTCCAAACAAAGTGAATATTTACTGCACCATTAGGTCTGAACAAAGTGAATATTTATTGGTCCATTAGGTCTAAACAAAGTGAATATTTACTGGTCCATTAGGTCCAAACAAATTGATTATTTACTGGACCATTAGGTCCAAACAAAGTGAATATGAACTGGACTCTTAGGTCCAAACAAAGTGAATAATTACTGGACCATTTGATCAAAACAAAGTGAATATGTATTGAACCATAAGGCAAAACAAAAGTGAATATATACTGGACCATTAGGCAAAACAAATGTGAATATATACTGGATCAGTAGGTCCAAACAAAGTGAATATTAACTGGACCATTAGGTCTAAACATAGTGAATATTTACTGGTCCATTAGGTCCAAACAAAGTGAATACTGACTGGTCCATTAGGTCCAAACAAAGTGAATATTTAATGGTCCATTAGGTCTAAACAAAGTGAATATTTACTGTTCCATTAGGTCTAAACAAAGTGAATATTTACTGTTCCATTAGGTCTAAACAAAGTGAATATTTACTGTTCCATTAGGTCTAAACAAAGTGAATATTTACTGTTCCATTAGGTCTAAACAAAGTGAATATTTACTGGTCCATTAGGTCCAAACAAAGTGAATATTTACTTGTCCAATAGGTCTAAACAAAGTGAATATTTACTGGTCCATTAGGTCCAAACAGAGTGAATATATACTTGACCATTAGGTCCAAAAATAGTGAATAGTTACTGGACCATTAGGTCCAAACAAAGTGAATATTAACTGGACCATTTGGACCAAACATAGTGAATATTTACTGGACCATTTGATCCAAACAAAGTGAATATTTACTGGTCCATTAGGTCTAAACAAAGTGTATATTTACTGGTCCATTAGGTCCAAACAACGTGAATATTGACTGGTCCTTTAGGTCCAAACAAAGTGAATATTTACTGGTCCATTAGGTCTAAACAAAGTGAATATTAACTGGACCATTTGGTCCAAACATAGTGAATATTTACTGGACCATTTGGTCCAAACAAAGTGAATATTTACTGGTCTATTAAGTACAAACAAAGTGAATATTGACTGGTCCTTTAGGTCCAAACAAAGTGAATATTTACTGGTCCATTAAGTCTAAACAAAGTGAATATTAACTGGTCCATTAGGTCCAAACAATGTTAATATTTACTGGACCATTAGGTCTAAACAAAGAGAATATATACTTGACCATTAGGTCTAAACAAAGTGAATATTGACTGGTCCATTAGGTCCAAACAGAGTGAATATTGACTGGTCCATTAGGTCCAAACAAAGTGAATATTAACTGGTCCATTAGGTCCAAACAAAGTGAATATTTACTGGTCCATTAGGTCCAAACAAAGTGAGTATTTACTGGTCCATTAGGTCCAAACAAAGTGAATATTTACTGGTCCGTTGGGTCTAAACAAAGTGAATATTTACTGGTCCATTAGGTCTAAACAAAGTGAATAATTACTGGACCATTAGGTCTAAACAAAGTGAATATTTACTGCTCCATTAGGGCTAAACAAAGTGAATATTTACTGGTCCATTAGGTCTAAACGAATAATTACTGGTACATTAGGTCCAAACAAAGTGAATATTTACTGGTACATTAGGTCCAAACACAAAGTGAATATTTACTGGTCCATTAGGTCCAAACAAAGTGAATATTTACTGGTCCATTAGGACTAAATAAGGTGATATTATTACAATTGTCACTATTGTAGAATATTTATAGTAGTCCTGCTCAAAAGAAGTATTCCATAAAAATCGCAAATTGTGATGTATTTTACAGAACTGTAATTGTATTAAATTTGAATGTTTGAAAATAGATTTAATAAAAAAAAGAGAAGTTGTCGGACTGATTACATTTATAGATAAGTATCTTAAATGGGGATGTTACCCCGAGCCAGAACGAATCATTTCGGTTACTTCTGGTCCTCCTAAATACGACCATATTTGTTTCAAAATAAGTTTGAAATCGAAATCAGAGCCCTTAGGTATAAACATATTTCCATCCCTATAGCCGTGTAAATGGGTGATCACATTCAACGGAAACGTAAATGGCAATGTAAACACCTTAGGGAAATAGTGATGTGTCCTATGCTTATGCACCTTGGTTTTGTAAATGTAAAGGGATTATACATTAAATAGTGTGAACTGAAATAAAGCAAAGACAAGAGCCATACGAATAGATAATACATTTATCAATATTGCAATAAGTGCTGAATCACTGCACCATTTCGGCTTATATTATTTTGAATCGAATTAATGTCTGCATACCCGTATTTAATGGAATGGAGAGGCCTGCCTCGAGTCAATGAAACATTGTTTTGCCTTTAACAACATTCCTTGTATTTTGACGAATTATCCATCACAGCGAATACATACAGGTCATTTCCTTAACATCCAAAATTAATTTCCCATCAACTAAACGAAATGTCATGAAAGATTGCATCGATCACTTTATAAGCAGATGATGCTCTATTGCCGATTTGGTATTGGAAGTTGTCTTATTTACTGATATACAGGACAGCTTCCGATAATTATACAATCCAAAACGTAAAAAAAAACACCGAAAAATTTACGATAAGCATTCGAGTGATAGTTCAGTCCCTGGTGCGCAATTATTGGTACATTCGGCCTTATTATGTCAAATACAGTACTGTGTTTGTTGTTGGCGTTGTACCTGTGGTCTCTTTTTATGTGACTTAACTACAATATCTTTGATGTCCTAGACCAAGTATCTCCCTTAAATAAACATAATTAACAGAGAAAAGTAATATCGACTATTTTTCTAAGCTATGGCTTTTTATATTGATACAAACAACGTACTGTATTCTTTTTTATACCAGCTGTCTTTTTACACAAACATTTTTGAATGCATGGGTGATTACACGATCTCTCTTTGTGTTTTATTTCAATAGGTATTTTTGAATATACCACACGTTATTTATCTGAAGACGCTCTGGGGTAACATATGTACAAGCTAACAGCATGATGGTACGAAAGTATAGACATACCGGTGTATCAAATACAAAAATATTTTTGCTCAAACCAGAAACCACTTAATCAAATATTACGCAACTGCATCGCTTGGTCATCCTCTTCTGTCCTTAAATTTGTAACATAATAACATCGTTTAAGAATTTTATTGAAGAAATTATTATGGAATTATATTACAGGAAATTCACATTTAATTAACGACGTAACTGCCACATCAACCATGCGTTGAACGATATAATAAAGCAATTAAGAGATATAAGATACATATCGAATAAATTGTAAATATATTCATCAATCAATAACCAAGACGGCCATCTTGGATATTTAGAAATAAAAACCTTTTGCAAGGGGTCAAGTGAGGATCATTTGTTAATAGTTTATAACTAAACAAAATATCGAATTCTGGTCAAAACCGAAACATTCCAAAATGGCCTGTGACCTTGATTTTGAAAGTTTCGCCCTTAAAGCTTTATCAAATACTTGATAAGTATATGCGCTTTAATCAGTGCAGTTACATATTTACTGTACGATTTTAGAACCTTACTTTGATACCATACCGATAATAAAAGAATGTGACCTGTTAACAATGTAGAAATTAATGTCTGTTTCCTTTCAAATCTGAATATGGTAAAATAAAAAAAAATGTATGCGTTGGATAAAACAAAATCGAATCAGATACCGTCGAGGCCATTTTGAATAATTAAATTCGTATGTCATATAACGACATGTCTCAAGAGATTTGATTATTCCATTACAACGCACGAAGAAATTGTTTATTGTTGAAATCAATTATTTTTGGAAGTGAAAATGAGGTTTCTATTTTAGGTTATTACAATATTCGGGTCGGACGCATTGAGAGTTCTGTTGAACACTCAATTGTTCGTGTATCTCCTTGCAATGCCCATCTTCCTGATAATAGGGACCGTGTACATCTACTCCCTCATAGGACTGTGGTGCTTCGTAGCCTTTGCTACATTTCTTGGCTTTTATATCCTGCAGGTAAGACATTAAATGTTTTCTAAATATTTTGTTTAATTTGTTATTTGAATATATGGTCGTTGATAAAATTACCTGATGACTTTTCCTGTCAGGAAATGTTGATTTGATCTAAACTGTTATATACAGCTACATAGATGTCTTCTGCCTCACTCATCTAAAAAAAATACAAACGACCTTTGTATCACACAAGAAAACATCATATCTCCTACAAATATCATAAGCTTTTCCATAGCCTGTATCCATCATCATCAATCATCGAAATCCTAAATAGTTAGTTCGTCCGTCAGCAGTCGTCATGCAAATCACGATTTCGAAGCAAACTTTTGAAGATAATTTTCGTTTAACGATACTTCTTTCGGCTATCCAACGTTTCTCTATCGCTTGACCTGACTATCACCCAGTGTACGCATTGATATCGTATGTACCTACCTGTCAAATATTGATAAAATTGGATTTAGAATATGTTTTTGTTTACGAAAATAAATATTTATATTTTTGTCTTTCCCAATATCAATAACTTAATATTATTGCACGTGTATGTTAATAAAGCAAGTGATATGCTTCTGCGACTGACCAAGCATTAAAGCACTGATAAAGAGGACACCATTTTATATTATGATGATACTAAAAACACAATTGATGGCATTAACTATAAGTTCTTATCGTATGATGACGTCAAACCATCTTTGAAATTTGATACTATTTTAACAAAAAAATACCATAACCAAAAACCTAATAATCTTTTCTAGGCATTTTTAATTGAATTAGTCTCCTTTCTCCGACGGAAGACCTTAGTATGGACAGATGTAAGGGTAGGTACTGCAATCGGAGGTAACGTATTTGTATTGAAGATGAACATTATAAATGTTTTCTGAAACGTTTACACACCTCATGTGATCAGTATAATTTGAAATTATATATTAAAGGATAAAAGAGTGCATTGCTTTACTTCATTAACAAGCATATGTAAATATTAATTCTATTCATATCTCTGCTTAAAAAATATGTTGTTTTTTTAAATTTGACCTGACATGTGATTGCACCTTTAAAACTTGGTAATAGATACAGCATTATCAGAAATGAATTATTATACAACAAACAGGTGGATTCAGATCTCGTACGGGAACAAATTCTTCTTTTGGCAGAGGCTGTAAAATTTAATATCTGAGGCTGTAAAGTAAAACAATTTATAAATTGAGAACAACATATGTGATCTTTACTTCTAACTTTGATCCAGACCATATACTTTATATTTTCATTTCCTCGTGTATCAAAGTGAACGAACATTGAAGTTGCTACCTTTTCGTTTGACAGATAAGGAAGATGAATGAAGTTCTCACCAGCATGAAGTTGATTAAAATGTATGCATGGGAGGAATCCTTTAAAAATTCTATAATGGGTAAGTAAACGATCACAAATAATGGGTAAGTAAACGATCACAAATAATGGGTAAGTAAACGATCACAAATAATGGGTAAGTAAACGATCACATATAATGGGTAAATATACGATCACAAATAATGGGTAAATAAACGATCACAAATAATGGGTAAGTAAACTATCACAAATAATGGATAGGTCAACGATTACAAATAATGGGTAAGTAAACGATCACAAATAGTTCCATTGATTAAGCTTTTATAATCGTATATTCGATAACAAAAGAAGAAACTCTATAACTTTTTCCAGCAACTAGCAATTACATGAGGTTCTTCATGTGTTGTATGTTCTATTAAGTCAACAACAAATCCTAAAACCAACATAATTTTCAACTAATGGATATTCATGAGAAATCAAAAAGAAGTTCCATTCAATAAATATTAAATACTTTTACTATTTTGAACAGGTATAAGAGAAACAGAAACTATACCACTGTTGCAGTCGACAATTGCAAATTCGATTATTAATGCCATCATCCCAGTCACCCCGTCACTAGCTACGGTAGCCACCATAGCCACGTATGCAAACGCAGGAAATGAATTGACAGCGTCGACGGTAAGCTCAATCTGTCAAGTAGCTTTTTTATTCCGAATTTGTGGCTGCAGCCGTAGTCTATAACTATTTCAATCTTTACAGAGTTGTCTTTTCATGGATTAAGACGTGCTACAAATGGTTTGAGACCAATACAGGGAAAGATACCGAGAAAATAAAATCTGAAAATTATTTTATTCGTACCAGAAAATTAACCCTGACCATCAGCGTTGGGCAGGCTAGTTGCTTGTCCACTGACCTACCGTTTGTTCATATTTTGTTAATAGAAATGAAATCCTTGATGCAAATATAAATCTAGAAATATAATGCATACATAAGTACTGTGTGTAATCAACCTAGAAATGAACTAGTCATTATTCATAAAAAAAGAGGCCAATGACCACGTACCTCACAGGTGAAATCCTGTTTTCTATAAGGTCATTGGTCAATCATTGGTATCTCATAATTATTATGATGGTTATAAGAAACGTCAATATGTCTTTTTTCAGGCTTTTTCAATTGTTGCCACACTGAGTTTTATGCGGGTTATTGTGTCCTTTGTTCCGTTCGCCGCTCGGATATTTGGAGAAACCAGGATCAGTTTTGAAAGAATAAGGGTATGACATGTTTTGCCTTGAGTCAATACGGTCAACTACCTTTCTAGACCCTAGCTGTTAATAGGACGTAAAACACAAACAAACCAAACCAAACCAAACCCTTTCTAGAATCCTTGTATAGTGAATCTATTATTTAAAATGTTGTGGTAGTTTCAGGATCAAATAATTCCGATATGTTGTTAGGAATTCTTTATTCTGTAAGAAGTAAATCTGGTACTTTAGTAAAATAATATTTCTGAGTAAATTTGCTGGTATGCGCTGTATAAAAAAAAAATGTTACAAAATGCAAAGTTCTACTCTACTCTACCGCTCATATACTAGTGGCCTACATGACGGATACCTTGTTGTTTCAAATAATTGATCTATAATCAGCATGTTTATCCTTTCTTCACATTTCTTTAACAAAAAAACTGAAAGGGTTAGCTATATACTGTGTTGCATTTCTTGTTTTATCACAGCGTTTCATGTTGGAAGAAGAATTCAAGCCTCCAGGACGAGGTGTCCTAAATTCGGGAAACGCTATTGAGCTCCGTAACACGGTGTTTATGTGGGGTGGCGATAACAACAACAATCCTGGCACCAAACAACAGTCCACAGATAACAAAGGTATATAAATGTATACTGTTTCTAACTTAGCTATGGGAATATTTCAAGATAATAACTATTTAAATAATGATAGAAGATTAAACTAGTGTATACTGGGTCATTAACACGAAAATATGATCCGCAATAAAATTTGACAAGCACAAAAATGAGCCGCAAAAATAAACTTTGATAGCTATAATGAAATAGCGCCGTGAGGTGGTGATAGTTCATATACATAAAGAGTAGTGCTGTTTGAAAATATGTTATATCACACATCTTATCATTTTGTTGATGATTTATTCAACAAAACAAACTTACTTGTTGTTGTTCAATAAGCTGTCATAGAGCCTATTCATTTGACTTTTTGACATTTGTATGCCAAACGTCTCATCTCTGCGCTAATACACCACGAAAATTATTATTTTTCAAATGTCTACAACCTGAAATTTTGATCCTGGGTTAATTTCAGGTCGAAATCGGGAAAATAACCCATTATACGGTATCACAGCTTCAACACATCAAAACAAAGTTTAAATTGGTTTTCAAAGATAAGCGCTTGTCTCATTTTAGTTATTCATTCACGCAAAATATACAGTATACACGTTATTGCATCATGGCTTGAGAATATCTTGCATTGTTCTTATATAGCGCTAACTAAATACATGTTATCCATTCCATGTTATTGTTATTTAATATAGGATTAAAGCTCGATTCGTCGGCATCACTAGCACTCCGGAGCATCAATCTTACAGTCAGTAGGGTAAGATAAAGCATAATGATTAGTAGTAAATGTATGGATGATTACTTTAGAAATGAAATAGTGTCTAGATACAGATATATCACTATTCTTAAACAGGAGAAAAACTTGATTCATTTGTTACATATCGCTTCTTAACATATGAAATATTGTTGTTACTTATAACTACTAAAAATATCCAGCTATTGTCGTCCATGTTATCCTTTTGTGTGTACCTAACAACGATGACCTTCAACTGCTTTACATTATTGTTTTTAAATACAATGGTTAAGAAATGTTGTAACATGCAGCGAGTTAACAGATTAAACTAGTGTTTACTGGGATATTTTCACCCAGTTAAATTTTCGCCCTTCGACGGTAAAAAAAAAATCCGCCCAATATTCAATTCGCCCTTTAAATCTATTTATTACATATAATATGTTGTTAATGAATTTGCCCTCATTACGGAGGGTGAAAATGGCGAAAGTCAAACTACTGCGAAAATTTCCCAGTAATCAATAACGATATACGTAAAATGATAAACTTCAAATAAAAAGCAACTTTTTGAAATTCAAAGAAGACAGGTGATTCCCTTAAAATGTTTTATTGTAAGAAAACAAGTCTTATTATGATTTCCCTAATATGAACAATTGACGCTATTCTATTGATCAAGATCACCTTAACAAACATTTATAGGGGAAGCATATTGGAATATGTGGTGCTGTCGGCTGTGGGAAATCGTCCTTGTTACAAGCGCTGATCGGGAGGGTAAGTAATTGCTATAACAAACAAATAAACACATATCCTTAATGAGATTATAATCACATGTTATGGTTAAAAGCAAATCTTAAAAACAGCGAGTAATGTGATCGAACCTACCGTGTCGGGCATGTGTGATGTACAATTACATTGCAGCATATGTAAAACAAATACCTTCTTGACATTCTTAGTTTTCAAACAAATTCTGGTACTTAATATTTGAATCAGAAAATAATCAACAGAAATGATTAACATTAGATTGAAATAACTCCGAAGTGGTATGCATGAAATAGAAAATGATACATGTCATGAGGGAATAGAAAATGATACATGTCACGAGGAAATAGAAAATGATACATGTCACGAGGAGATAGAAAATGATACATGTCATGAGGGAATAGAAAATGATACATGTCACGAGGAGATAGAAAATGATACATGTCACGAGGGAATAGAAAACGATACATGTCATGAGGGAATAGAAAATGATACATGTCACGATGGAATAGAAAATGATACATGTCACGAGGAGATAGAAAATGATACATGTCACGAGGGAATAGAAAACGATACATGTCATGAGGGAATAGAAAATGATACATGTCACGATGGAATAGAAAATGATACATGTCACGAGGAGATAGAAAATGATACATGTCACGAGGGAATAGAAAATGATACATGTCACGAGGGAATAGAAAATGATACATGTCACGATGGAATAGAAAATGATACATGTCACGAGGGAATAGAAAATGATACATGTCATGAGGAAATAGAAAATGATACATGTCACGAGGGAATAGAAAATGATACATGACACGAGGGAATAGAAAATGATACATGTCACGAGGGAATAGAAAATGATTCATGTCACGAGGTAATAGAAAATCATACATTTCACGAGGAAATAGAAAATGATACATGTCACGAGGAAATAGAAAATGATACATGTCACGAAGAGATAGAAAATGATACATGTCACGAGGGAATAGAAAATGATACATGTCACGAGTTTTCAGCAAGGATTTTTGATGAAAAACAAGAATATTTTGTTTATTCCCAGATGCCATTGATTACCGGTGACATTGCTGTTGATGGCACAGTTGCGTATGCAGCACAACAGGCCTGGATATTTAACGGAACACTGAGAGACAATGTTCTCTTCGGAAGGCCTTTTCATCAAGAATGGTAAGCCATGGGAAACTGAATAGCAAGTTTATAATATAATATCAAGCAATTGTAATTTTAATCAAATACTTTTTGTATGTTTCGAATTCAACAGGAAGTGTTCATTTTAGATCTGATTGAACCAGAATGTTTTATAATAATGTTGCTAGTATTCGAGATTGTAGCATTTCTATTGTATTTAACATCATTTGATTTTACACACGTGAAATGGAACGTGTATTAGCCGTGCCATCCACCATACCCTCTTCCAAATGATAACCTAATAAAGCTGCACGAAAGCGTTCATAGTTCCAGTTGTGCGTTTAAAAAGGAGTTAAAACGACGAGGACTGGTCAACAACATTTTTGGAGTCTTCCGGTATATACTGAATTACCATTTGACATTTTTTATCAACTGCTTTGGTGCCCGAACGGTTTCACCCCTTGGAATATTGCACGTTCCAGAATTTTGAAAATTAACACTGGTAAAAAAAAAAACTAAACTTTTTACCTTATTCGAGCGGGGTTTTTTTCTGCAGGTATGCACAGGTGTTAACCGCATGTAGCTTGGATCCAGATCTCCGCATACTGGCCAATGGTGACATGACTGAGGTAAACAGCATTTGAACAGATTAATATCGTTATCAATACTGCTCAAAGTTAAGATTAAAAACAGGTATCCTAACGCTACGGAAGACGAATTTTAAATGTCCTCTCTATGATATTTCAAAGTGTGTATATATTACATAAATACTATAAAAAGGCAAAACAATCTCAATAACATGTCATTAGTGAAGGCGATTCTTCAGACTAGTTATTTGGAGGAGGAGAAATTATGACGTCATAAACTATGAACCCGCCATAGCGATATCACAGCAATAGAAATACATAATTAGGTTTTTGAAAACAAGAGTACCATATAATTAGGATTTTTCATTACTACAAGTACTAATATGTATGTATCAATAATTATTCAATTCAATATATTATATATATTAACTCTGGAGTAATTAGAACATGCACCTTATTTACACTAGTGACCATGCGTATTTTTTGTCATTACGGTTAATGCTGTTTAAAACAAAAGGAAGTTACAGTCCTGTATAGATCATTGGGAAAAGCAATATTGTAATAACAATTAACAACGATGTATGAAGTCTTAAATAAAGGAATGTCAGTCATGTGTAAGCATGTTGGATACGGTTATTCTACCCGAGGGTGCTGAATTTGTGACAGAACCGAGGCCTTGCTTAGAAGTACCATATCCAAAACACCTACATAATAACTAACTATTTTTCTCTCACCTCTTTGGTAAAAAAAACCACATTCACAATCAAAATGCGACACCTAATTTTATATAGCAAAATGTCTAGACATTAAATACGCAGAAAGAATACGGTATAACAAGGGCATACTTTCAAATTTATCGGATTGTGATGTCATAATAATAAAGGTTACTGAGTACACTTATGTGGGATATACGTATCCAATATCAGTTTTCGAGAAAAAGGAAGAAGACGAGATTGCAAATTTCGGAGGACATTGACTAGTCAGAATTGATCGTTAATTCTGAAGATTCAATGTACTTATAAACGGTTTCTGTATCGGAGCACATTGACTAGTCAGAATTGATCGTTTTATCTGAAGATTCAATGTACTTATGAACGGTTTCTGTATCGGAGCACATTGACTAGTCAGAATTGATCGTTTAATCTAAAGATTCAATGTACTGATAAACGGTTTCTGTATCCGAGCTTATCCATATTTGACTCACTGTAAATGTGCATAAAATCTGGACAAGTCACGTTGTTATTACATCTTTGGCAATATTGTGTTTTTATGAAATAAGTAGATGTTAAAATCGCATACCCATTCACAGGTAGTGCTATATATCATATTTACACATGTAGTGTTATAGATAATATTTACACATGTATTGTTATAAATAATATTTACACATGTAGTGTTATAGATCCTATTTACATATGTAGTGTTATAAATCATATTACACAGGTTGTGGTATAGTTAATATTTACACAGGTAGTGTTATAGCTACTATTTACATATGTAGTGTTATGGATACTACTTACATATGTAGTGTTATAGACAATATTTACACATGTAGTGTTATAAATAATATTTACACATGTAGTGTTATAGATACTATTTACACAAATAGTGTTATAGAAATTGATCGTTTTATCTGAAGATTCAATCTACTTATGAACGGTTTCTGTATCGGAGCACATTGACTAGTCAGAATTGATCGTTTAATCTAAAGATTCAATGTACTGATAAACGGTTTCTGTATCCGAGCTTATCCATATTTGACTCACTGTAAATGTGCATAAAATCTGGACAAGTCACGTTGTTATTACATCTTTGGCAATATTGTGTTTTTATGAAATAAGTAGATGTTAAAATAGCATACCCATTCACAGGTAGTGCTATATATCATATTTACACATGTAGTGTTATAAATAATATTTACACATGTAGTGCTATAGATAATATTTACACAGGTAGTGTTATATATCATATTTACACAAATAGTGTTATAGATTATATTTACTCAGGTAGTGTTATAGATACTATTTACACAAATAGTGTTATAGAGTATATTTACACAAATAGGGTTATATATTATATTTACACAGGTAGCGTTATAGATAATATTTACAGATGTAGAGTTATAGATACTATTTACACAAATAGTGTTATAGAGTATATTTACACAAATAGGGTTTTAGATTATATTTACACAGGTAGTGGTATAGATACTATTTACATATGAAGTGTTATAAATCATATTAACACAGGTAGTGTTATATATAATATTTACACATGTAGTGCTATAGATAATATTTACACAGGTCGTGTTATAGATAATATTTGCACATGTAGTGTTATAGATTCTATTTACATATGTAGTGTTATGGATACTACTTACATATGTAGTGTTATAGATACTGGAGCACATTGACTAGTCAGAATTGATCGTTTTATCTGAAGATTCAATCTACTTATGAACGGTTTCTGTATCGGAGCACATTGACTAGTCAGAATTGATCGTTTAATCTAAAGATTCAATGTACTGATAAACGGTTTCTGTATCCGAGCTTATCCATATTTGACTCACTGTAAATGTGCATAAAATCTGGACAAGTCACGTTGTTATTACATCTTTGGCAATATTGTGTTTTTATGAAATAAGTAGATGTTAAAATAGCATACCCATTCACAGGTAGTGCTATATATCATATTTACACAAATAGGGTTTTAGATTATATTTACACAGGTAGCGTTATAGATAATATTTACACAGGTCGTGTTATAGATAATATTTGCACAAATAGTGTTATAGATCTAATTTACACAGGTAGTGTTATAGCTACTATTTACATATGTAGTGTTATAGATAATATTGACACATGTAGTGTTATAGATTCTATTTACATATGTAGTGTTATGGATACTACTTACATATGTAGTGTTATAGATAATATTTTCACATGTAGTGTTATAGATCCTATTTACATATGTAGTGTTATAGATACTGGAGCACATTGACTAGTCAGAATTGATCGTTTTATCTGAAGATTCGATGTACTTATGAACGGTTTCTGTATCGGAGCACATTGACTAGTCAGAATTGATCGTTTTATCTGAAGATTCGATGTACTTATGAACGGTTTCTGTATCGGAGCACATTGACTAGTCAGAATTGATCGTTTAATCTAAAGATTCAATGTACTGATAAACGGTTTCTGTATCCGAGCTTATCCATATTTGACTCACTGTAAATGTGCATAAAATCTGGACAAGTCACGTTGTTATTACATCTTGGGCAATATTGTGTTTTTATGAAATAAGTAGATGTTAAAATAGCATACCCATTCACAGGTAGTGCTATATATCATATTTGCACATGTAGTGTTATAGATCCTATTTACATATGTAGTGTTATAGATACTATTTACATATGAAGTGTTATAAATCATATTACACAGGTTGTGGTATAGTTAATATTTACACAGGTAGTGTTATATATCATATTTACACAAATAGTGTTATAGAGTATATTTACACAAATAGGGTTTTAGATTATATTTACACAGGTAGCGTTATAGATAATATTTACAGATGTAGTGTTATAGATAATCTTTACACATGTAGTGTTATATATAATATTTACACATGTAGTGCTATAGATAATATTTACACATTTAGTGTTATAGATCCTATTTACATATGTAGTGTTATGGATACTACTTACATATGTAGTGTTATAGATAATATTTACACATGTAGTGTTATAGATAATATTTGCACAAATAGTGTTATAGATCTTATTTACACAGGTAGTGTTATAAATCATATTAACACAGGTTGTGGTATAGTTCATATTTACACAGGTAGTGTTATATATCATATTTACACAAATAGGGTTATAGATTATATTTACACAGGTAGTGTTATAGATACTATTTACATATGTAGTGTTATAAATCATATTAACACAGGTAGTGTTATATATCATATTTACACAAATAGTGTTATAGATTATATTTACACAGGTAGTGTTATATATCATATTTACACAAATAGGGTTATAGATTATATTTACACAGGTAGTGTTATAGATAATATTTACACAAATAGTGTTATAGATTATATTTACACAGGTAGTGTTATAGATTATATTTACACAGGTAGTGTTATAGATACTATTTACATATGTAGTGTTATAAATCATATTAACACAGGTTGTGGTATAGTTCATATTTACACGGGTAGTGTTATATATCATATTTACACAAATAGGGTTATAGATTATATTTACACAGGTAGCGTTATAGATAATATTTACACAAATAGTGTTATAGATTATATTTACACAGGTAGTGTTATAGATACTATTTACATATGAAGTGTTATAAATCATATTAACACATGTTGTGGTATAGTTCATATTTACACCGGTAGTGTTATAGTGGCATTATCTATGAAACGTCGAACTTTAATTAAATCATAGCTGACAATGAAATTCGAAAAAAAAATAACTTTCAGATTGGTGATAGGGGAATTAACCTTAGTGGTGGTCAAAAACAGCGCGTGAGCCTGGCACGTGCCGTCTACAGTAAACGCGACATATATCTCCTTGACGACCCGCTGTCCGCCGTGGACGTCCATGTTGGGCAGCATTTGTTCCACAAATGTATTGATAAAGTTTTGAGGAATAAAACAGTTGTTTTGGTGACCCACCAACTCCAGGTAAATAAACCTACACATACTTTGGTATACCGTGTTTGTCGAGGTCATTTCTGCGCTAGGTGTAGATATACAGCAAGTCTAGGTACGATGTATGATATATTTATTTATTTGTGTGGGGTTTTTTTTGTTTTGTGTGGGGGGTGTTTTTATATTCTTTTCAATTTTAAACGATTGTACAATTAAATGCTGATTTTAATGCAGGTTTGATAATATTAACACTGAGGGCTTGCATCATATCTTAATCAAAGTTATCATGGAAGAAATGTATTGGTTAGAATGAACATGCGTTTGGATAAAATTGCTTTATAGTTGGACCTTCTGTCTATTTCACTTGTATCATTCATGGAACTTTTTTTTAATATTACTATATTATTGTATGCTTTTTCTCATTTAACGTTCATAGCAGACACCCCAGTAAAACAAACAAATTATCTAATACAATCGCATTGAACAAATATTTTATCAACGCCCACAGTGGACAAAAAGTATCTAAGGAAAGTTGGATACTTTTGATACAAATATAAGGGGAAACGTCATTTTGGTATTGTTTTATCAACTAGTTGTTAATGGGGGAAATATCAGTAATACCGTAATTAACATTTAAATGCGATTGGCTCAATATGAACAATGGAGAGATTAATTAGAAACCATTAAAACAAGTACAAGGAATATAAGATATGGAGTATGAGTCTTCTGCCTCATCGACGACATGAGTCATGTACATATTGTCAAATCCAAGTAAGACATCGACACAAGGCACATTAATTAGTATTATACAATAAATCAAGTGTCTGAAGTTAATTTCTCGATGTTTTAGCATCTTAGAAAAAATAGGTTATAGCTTATAACATTATGATTAAAGTACGTTGTGAAAATGACAAAAGTCCGTTCCACGATACAGTTGAATAGACACTAGATCAGTCGATTTTTTCTGTATATAGTTTATACATCTATATTTAAACAAAAGAAAACCTAGTTGCCGTAATGTTATATTAATGTTTGACTGTCATATCATATATTAATATTCCGCAAGAATCTGTAAATTAGTTCTAGATATGTATTCTTTAAAACTGTTAGTTACAATATATTGGACACAGCGCAGTATATTTATTACATATTGATATGTGCAAGAAATATTGACATAATTTTTTTTATATTTTTTTGTTTCTCAAATACCCACCTTTGCATAAGTCTTAATGTGAACGATTGGGACATATCAAGCTGGCTACTTACATGTTTGTGCCATGATTATGTTGTACAGTATTTAAAACATTGCGACGAGATTTACGTGATGGATGACGGGGAACTAGTGGAACATGGCACCCATGACTCGTTATTGGCCCAGGAAGGATATTACACAAAAATAATGGAACAGTTCAATTCTAACATGGACTATGCTAGTGCTGCAGGTAATAAATTCTCTTTCATCATCATTTATTACTAAGAACTCAGGGTTCCCTAACAGAGAAACTTCGATCTACTCTAAGTAACATTTTACTGACATTTTTAGGGCCCGATCTTGCAGTATGCTATTTTTTCATTAATCAAATGTCGAATTTATAATATGTTAGCGTCTGTAGTGTCCGATTTTCTGCTATAAACTTGCAGTGTGCTGTGTTGTTATGAAGCAAATGTCGAATTATTAATATTTTAATCGTTGGTGATGGGTATAATTCCCACGACCTAACAGGACACATTGATACAGGGTCTGTTTACAGGGTCTGTTTACCCTAATTTTATAAGGTTATTTTAATCTCATTTCCATATTTACAGTATTGACTCTGGAAAATTTTAAAACTTTGTTTTCCCCTAAGCAAAATCAGGGTGGACAAACAAGACAGGAAATATAATATATTTCCAAAAGTTTACTGTATTCTACACATAGAACAATAATGGATACAATATATGACGAGCTGATTAGTTATTAGTTTACTAAGAATATTTTTTCATAAAAATATATCATTTACATACAATTAAAGCGCTGCTAATTAGCAATATATATTCTCCAGAAGAACTGTATAGATGCAAACGTCCTTGATAATTGGTCTGCTGTAATTTTTAATCTTTTGTATATATATTTGGATATATTTGTGTAAACATTTAACTATAAATAGATATACTAGCGGGGAAAAAAATACGCATATGCGTTTTACATATAACGTTTTTTTATTTTAGTATGCTTACTCCTGGTACTATCAAGGAGGTATTTGTAAAATATTGGGCAAGGCCTTATCCCCGAACCTTGTCGTACACTTCCACAAAATTATAAAACATCGTTCGTTGTCAATTTCAAAACAGTACCAAAACGAACTTGTGGATAGGGTTCAATTGAAGGAAGAGCACACAGTGAGAGTCCATGTGGAGGACATGCTCGGTATTGAACAGACACTGGAATTGAGATTTAGTCACACTTTTGCAACGACATTTATGGCGACTCCGCATGCGTTTACAAAGTCTTTAAGAATTAAATAGAAGATTAATAATTAACTATGAAACGCAGCTTTTATGAAGTTTGTTATATAACATTTTTAAAAAAAAAACTTCATAACAAAATGCGTATATTTTTACCGCTGAAATAATAATTTCGCTGATGTTTTAATCTCATCTTGAATTTGCTTATCACATTAAATACAGATGACAACACGGAGAATGATGTAGATCAGGAAGAATCGGCTGATATCACCTCAAATCAGCAACAAAACGCTTCTACGGTATCAGTCGACACCGATCACAACTATGAAAAAGGTTTGTTCCACGAAATCAGCTTTAACCAAGTTTTAAAGATGATCTGTGTATAGAAGGTATCCGGCATTCTTCGTTTTGTTCATATGGGCTTGTTTCTCTGTGTGTATCTCCCAAATAACCGCCATATTGTCGTGTCTATACGAATGAGCACGTCCCCCATAATAGTTTTTTTTCATCCCCCAAGCGGTGCCACGCGCCGCCGGGGTTTGATCTGTAAACACTTTGTCCACTTCCGGTGCTTCTCCATGTGTGAAAGCCTTCTCGGAAATTGAGACCGCATTCTGTCTACAAAAATATGATGGTAAACCCTAATGCATCGGTATTTATTACAGTGTAGTAGTGAAATATCATGAATTCTCCATTTGATAAAAACATATATTTAATGCAGTGATTAGACGAAAAATTATATTTTAGTATTGTCCAATCTGAACGGTAACATTCTCTGCGTAGATTTTCAGTTTCAAGTTTAAATGATGTGACGGCAGAATAAGTGGTTGTGTTGTCTACCTTTGCTGCATACATTATTGTTTTTACATAACTACACACTTAATATCATATTTGTCTGGAAATCTTACCAGATAATACAAGGAAACGGCAAAATTGCACTGAAAACCCATTCAAAATGGCGCTCTTATTGTTGTTAAGCGTGACGTCATTACATCTGGGCGTCAAAAACTATGCTACACATTCCCGCGCTTTTCTGATGTAGCAAAATTTACGCCGCGTGACGTGAAAAATGTAAAAAATTGAAAATTTCATGGTTTTCCCGTTCAATGCGGTTTTTTTCACTTGTATAAAACGAATATGTGATAACAACCAAAAAACCAGCGTTGTGGAGAAATGTGTCTTTGTAACAATCTCGAGATGTAATAATTATTATTCAAAGGGGCTGGGGACTACACTTGATCGTTAACATTTAGGCCTAAACGTGCGGTTAAAACTGTACATTTGCATGCTGTGGGACAATTATTGAGTGACAATAGTGCAAAATGTAAGGATATTTGGCATGAACGGAATATTCTGAACGACAAAAATAATACCATCAACAACGTTTATAATTATAACTAAATATATTCAAGTATGCAGGATCCATTCCCTCGTGCTTGTTCGACAGTCAGTAAGTCATTTTCATAAAAAGGTTTTGTGTCCAGCAGCTTTGCTGCATTTTCAAGAGCGTATCAGTACTGGTAACAGAAACCTTGCCAAGTCCTTTAATTTTCACTTTCAGATATACTTACAATGTCCTTTACTGACATTGTCCTTTATTTAAATAACAAGAAATATACTGGCCACGCCGGTCATATATATTCATCTGAACTTGATATCAAATACTTTAAACTCTTGTATATCAACCGCTTTCGGAGAGGTCTGCTTACTGCCAAGCTGTACGAAAAGTTCGACGAATTCGAGTTTTACTATTGTAAACTTTCCCTTTCCCGATAGTAACTTATTACGATTTCTGATATAGGTCGCCATTATAATATAATAATGAAATATGGTATTTCCTTTTGTGTTATAAAGGTCGGTTTTTCTGTTATATTCAATAACATTGTTTGTTATTTCGCTATAACAACCCCGGTTCTCGCTTTGGGGCCTTGCATTACTTTGATTTGACCTAGATTTACAAAGTGGGTTTCGTCGTCGATAACTTACAGTTTTGATGTCATTTTGGATGTTATCTATATCTTGTTCCTCCTCTAAGAATTGGACATATGCTATTACAGTGAAAATTGTCCAATCCGACGCCATGCTGGGGTGAATGTTTTGGTCGGGTTAGACATGGTGTCGGAAAAGTCAGGTTTTGGAGTTGAAAGTCAGTAAGGTAGTTGATTCGACATTCATACGATCACTCACTCTAAATTTAGACATGTATAGGCACACTAAGGCATACAATCATGATCAAGTATATACATGTTCATAGTGTTATTGTCAATTTAAAATCACGACATTTACCTTCATTATCACTATGCGTGTCACTTAACTGTTACAGTTCAATAACCTACTAATTCCACATTTCCGTAGTACACAGTAGCTATACTATAACCCCTTTGCTTCCGTCGTCATCAAAACGATATTTCCAACTATTGGATTCATGTTGCTTCCCTGGTAAAAGATTTATTAATATTTCAATTATATTGGATGTAAAAAGAACAATCTAAACCCGAGGATAAGATTGTTGAGGTTTAGCGAGATGCTCTGCCGGGTTTATATACAAATATTGTACAATTTGGTAATGAATGCTAAACATTAAGTTAGCTCATGTAACACTATAATCTTTAATAATGGATTTGCGTTTATGATTCATGACCACGAGTATGACCCTTATATGGATACTTCTGTCCTTTCCAGGTATTCTGACAGACAGAGAGACATCGCAGACAGGCGCCATAAGTATGGACGCATACATGAGCTACGTTCGTGCAGCAGGAGGCAAACTAGTGGCAGTGTTAGTGTTCCTGCTGTATGTGTGTGCTTTATCTTCAGTCGCATTCAGTGAATGGTGGCTTGGAATATGGATTGAACAAACGGTATGTTAAACTTTCATTTTATGAGTGTCAGTGTGTCATAGATTCATTTCTGAAGTTAAATTTTTATGATGTAGCTTCATTTTTGAAATTTGAATAGTTTAAACAAAACTCAATGGCAACCGTGACAGACTCAATTCAAGCAACCAGGTAACATCTTACCTTGGGACTTATTTTCCACCAGCAGCGTCAATCAACTTGTAATGCAAAAGAATCACAAGCAATACAAAAAAAGGACACACCTGTCTTAAATTTGATATGTCGATGCAGAGAGCCAAATGCATGAATGTAAAGTAAACATTCTTATTGCACCATATGGTCGTTTTCACAATCAAAAACTCACCATTATTAAAGGTCAAAATATTTAAAATTCTTATATAAAACCAATGTTCGAACAAAAACTGTTTACAATAAACTTGCTTCTAAATGCCGTTGCTTTTGATAGTTTTACAAATAATAATTAAAATAATTTTATCATTGCGTATTTGTCATTTATTTGAATAATCACTATTTCCAGACTAGCCCAGCACAAGTTACACTCCCCTCCGAATCTAATGCAGCAGGCGGAAATATTTCATTTAGTGAGAATTATACAACTTCCACATTATCAGTAGCAAACACAACCTCCTCTTGGAATGCGGAAAAGAAACTGGAGAAAAATGATTGGTATTTGACCGTTTATATGTATACAACCGTAGTGATAGCTGGACTGGCCACATTGAAGGGATTTCTATCAGGAATGGTAAGTCCTATTTGAAAATGGATGTAGAGTTGCTATAGGATATATTATCTCAATGAAAATCGAAATTAATAAAAAAAAAAAAAAAAAAAAAAAAGGTTATATCCTTTTGTTAATTTGCTTAGTTTGATCAATATTTTCCAATCCTTTCGAATAAAATGTTTATGTAATGAAATATTTTTGAAAAGCGATCTGTGTTTACAAAGGAGACTACCTGAGTGTATATTGACGTGGATAATCTGCAGAAATTACACGTTTGTTTATGGATAAGAGGCAATACTAATGTTCATTTATACCGGATATATCGGAAAAAATCCTATTTTGTGCGACAGACTATAATAGTGTATAAAGACCCTGAATACAAATATGAAACCTTTTTAACTGATTTTGCTAAAAACAGAAATGTTATTTTCTACTAGAAACAATCTATATTTCGATTCCTACAGATTTACCCCAATTTCAATATATCGCCATTATCTCTCGTCATTGTTTAACAATTCGTCAACAATTGTTTTGGTATCAGAATAAAATATGCTTCCAAAATCTTACATTAGCAAATTTTGTTCTTATAGAAATTTCAAAGATATATTAGGTCGAAAATATTACGTCACATAGGATTTGCATCTAACAACTACGACATCAGACATATGATGGTCAGTTACTCTTAATAAAGGACAAGTACTTATTATAAGTACTTATTATAAAAAATATTTCACGCAGGTGATGGTAAGAGCTTCAGTAAACCTACACAACAAGGCCGTAGAGAGAGTGATGAGTGCCCCTATGCAGTACTTCGACGCAAATCCTCCGGGTAGACTCCTAAATCGGTTCTCGCGAGACGTAGAGGATGGTAAGTGTATTTATCTGAACTGAAGTGATATTTGTATGGTAATTGCTGTGCGCAATCAAAATTTTATCTTCAAATAAAAGATAGTAAAAAGAAAAGAAGTAATTCATAAGTAAGCTATCAATTCATTGATACCAAATTCAAAATATGAATCAATAATATTAAGTACACTTGAAGCTTTTTTATTTTTGCTTCAAAATATATACTTTATATGACCATATCTGTACAATCTTACTTTAATTGGTTCACAAACAAATATAAACTTGTATTGATCCGTTTTTTGTTCTGTTACAGCTGATATATTCATCCCTAATCTGATGGATAATCTACTTCAAGTAATGGTTGTCATAACAGCAGCCCTGGTAACCACAGTCTACAATTTACCGTGGTTTCTCATCGCTGTCGTTCCTATTGGATTTTACTTCTATGTTATCAAAACTATAGCATCCGTACCGATCAGAAATTTTAAACGACTTGAAAACGTCTTAAGGTCACCACTTTTAAGTCACGTGACTATCTCATGTAATGGACTTAGTACCATTGTTTCTTACTCACAGGAAGATAACTTCATGAATGGGTAAGTTACAGAGCAGAAATAACATGCTTTTGTATTTCCAGAGTATAACAACCCCATCCACAGGTTGGGTTTAAGTACGACAATTCTTTCCTATGAACATAAATTTATATTCCTTTTCCACTCTTAGAATTTATATTCGAACTAACGTTAACATAACCCGTGCTAGATAATGTTGAAGTAGTGATGATGATGGTAACAGAGTTTGTTCACATTCGCTGCATGAGAAGATGATAAAGACAATAATACAGTTAACAATCAATAATCAGGATATTTGACTTAGTGCCATGATGAGATAACATGCTAGCTAAAGCGTCAAATCACTATTTAGTTATATTTCTTCATAAAAGATGTAAAAGATACTCGGATGCGACTTCCATGGGGCTGTTGCTGTTTGAAGCTAGTATGAGATGGATGGCTCTGAGAATGGATATTGGAGGTAGTATAGTGGCAGTTGTTTCAGTGATTGTTGTGCTGTTTACCAAGGGCACCATATCTCCGGCTTTAGCTGCTCTGTCACTTACCATGTGCCTCAAGGTAAGTGTAGCAATACACATATGTTGGTCTCTGTCACTGTCTATGTCCCTCAAGGTAAATGTAGCAATACACATATGTTGGTCTCTATCACTGACTATGTCCCTCAAGGTAAGTGCAGCAATACACATATGTTGGTCTCTGTCACTGGCTATGTCCCTCAAGGTAAGTGTAGCTATACACATATGTTGGTCTCTGTCACTGGCTATGTCCCTCAAGGTAAGTGTAGCAATGCACATATGTTGGTCTCTGTCACTGACTATGTCCCTCAAGGTAAGTGTAGCAATGCACATATGTTGGTCTATGTCACTGACTATGTCCCTCAAGGTAAGTGTAGCAATACACATATGTTGGTCTCTGTCACTGATTATGTCCCTCAAGGTAAATGTAGCAATACACATATGTTGGTCTCTGTCACTGACTATGTCCCTCAAGGTAAATGTAGCTATATAAATAATGGTTTCTGTCATTTACCATGTGCCATATTAAATGTGACTATTGGGAACATACTATGGCCCTGTCTTGGCCGACAAGGTTCTGTGTTCATATCAACAAAGAATTTATCATGACAGAGCCCAAGAAAGTCCTTGCATGGTCATTCAGTGTCACTTTCAGATATAGCCATGATTTATCTTCTATAAGTACCATGCATATATTATTCACAATGCGATTGTATAAACCATTCCTAACTTATCAGCAAGTGAACTTTTGGGCTCCTCTACATATGCCTGTTACATCGACCCTACTTACAACTTAACAAACAGTCACGTTTACCAAACGGATTTATAATGAGGCTAGTTATTTTGACAATTTCCGGTCGTGACCATTCCTCACCTTTACAGTAATATCACTGCTTCTCCAGCCTACGTTGTTTACGTGTTGAATTTGATTTTGACTTGCTCAAAATACCACGGAAATCATGAATGCTGACAGACTAACTTGTTTTCGGAAGAAGCAGATTGATGAAGATTGAGGTTTATGGTCAACATCATGATATCATTGGACATCATTTTAATCTCGTGTTAACCTGTACTTACATGACCAGTGTCGTCGGTGAAGAACACTTGAACTTGTTAATAGCGATATAGAATTCGAATAGCGGTTTTGTTTAAACTTTGTTATTCCTTCCTTTCTCTTTAAATATAAACAGTCACCTGTCATATCTAATTTTCAAATATCTTTATTCCTGTAAAGTTAAATGTTAAGTTCAAATTATGGCATTTGTTTTCTATGTTTTACTTGTACTATCACTTAAAGAATGCCGTTGAACTACTTTCGATACTTACTGTCGGTGCAGTCCCAGTAAGTAAGCATGCCATATTTATTGATAATCGATTGTAGGTGTCATCAGTGATCCAATTCTTTGCCCGGATGTTAAATGAAGTGGAAGCCAGATTCACCGCAATCGAACGTATGCACGAGTATGAGGTATTTAAACAATCTTCAATCATTTTAACACAGGAAGCATTTATCACTTGTTTGTAGTAACGCCTGTACAACGCTTCCATGTGTACCTTAATACTGTATGTCACTGATAACCAAACTTATTAAATTTAAATGATGAGGGAATTGAATCGCTATCTTCTTTCCTCTTCCACTGTTCACTGAACTGACGGATCCCTTGTCCCACTGTCCTGTGGGCTTTCGTATATACAGTAATCTCCCCTTAATTTCATGTTGGACATACTCCCTTTGACCTATTAGCTCAGTAGGATAGGTACCCGGATTCGTAATTTCAGTTTTGCCTCACTATTTTTTCCACACAGAACAGTTCTCGATTACATTTTTTTCATTTTATTTTTTATTTTTATACAAGTCGGGCAGGGTCTGCTTTTTCTTTTCAAAAGGATTTTGTTAAAAATAAAGTCATGTCAGGAAAAAGTCTCCAATGTGTAGTTACAGTTTTTGGCAGTTTACGGGTCTCCTTTACCTGTTAGTTTTATATGTCATGTAATGTAAGCATGCGATGAGTTATAAATACAAAATTGATGTTTTGAAGAATTCTTTTTTAATATGATGCCGTATTATGTTAGCTGGTGTAAGTATCAAAATTTGTTTAAAATACATGTGTGTTCCTGAATAGCAAATAATGAAGCCATGGTTTCCTACAGAGCTGAAAATTTGACGATCGTTTTCATGATAATCAAATTATGTACAAATTATATATATATATATTTTAGGCTTATTCGATTCTGACATGATACTTGTTTTTTGACGATGTGGCATTTATTTTTTATATACTTCATTTTAAATCAAATCAATCATCTCTAGAGACTAAACATTGAGAAAGAGACAGGGAGATTGCAGGTAGACAAAACATGGCCTAGTCAAGGGAGGATAACATTTTCTAATGTGATGATGAAATATCGAAGTGACATGGAACCTGTTCTCAGGAACATAAACTTCGACATCCTTCCCAGACAAAAGGTCGGCATTGTCGGACGTACGGGAGCGGGTAAGTTTTAATACAGTTTGATGTGGTATATCGACAACGTGGAACTTTCTTCCATACATATTTGAATTCTTTAATTTTAAATAATAGTTCTTTGCTTGAATATTCAATTGTTTCAGCCATTCTTCTGTGAACAATGCTTTATATAGATACAAAATTAAATGATAATCTGTGTCTTTGGTGTGAAAATATATGTTATAGCTATATTTTTTGGTATTTATGCAGAGTTTTAAACGTTTCAATTACAACCTTCAAAAATGCAAATACGTGTTATATGGGGTACATGGTTCAGTATAAGAAAAGATTAGACTGTTGTTGTTTTCTTGAATAAATACAATTTACACATGGAGTTGTCAAAATTAGTGGTGGACAATTAGCAGATCACTTTGTAATAATAAAAGTAACAGGAAAGAACTCTATAAGAATTGTGTAGATCAAGCATAAAGTTTGTTCTAGAATATGAAAATAACAGTTGTTACAGTTTGACGACCCCTTGTGACAGAAATGTGTAAGTGAAGAAACATTGTGTTTCTAAGTGACCACGTCAGTACAGGCCAGTTTGACCTAAGTGAACACGTCAGTACAGGCCAGTTTGACCTAAGTGACCACGTCAGTACAGGCCAGTTTGACCTAAGTGACCACGTCAGTACAGGCCAGGTTGACCTAAATGACCACGTCAGTACAGGCCAGTTTGACCTAAGTGACAACGTCAGTACAGGCCAGTTTGACCTAAGTGACCACGTCAGTTCAGACCAGTTTGACCTAAGTGACCACGTCAGTACATGCCAGTTTGACCTAAGTAACCACGTAAGTACAGGCCAGTTTGACCTAAGTGACCACGTCAGTTATGAGCAAAAACGTGTACAGGTCAATCACGCATGTCTAGATAACTGTTAACTTACATCTCCTACTGTACTGAATTATGGTTACAGGTAAATCCTCCTTGGCCGCGGCGCTCTTCAGATTGACTGATATATCAGAAGGTCAAGTGGTCATTGATGACGTAGAAATTGGAACTATATCGCGGAAACTTCTGCGTTCAAAGTTGTCGTCGATTCCACAAGACCCTGTCCTTTTTGCTGGAACTCTAAGGCAAGTTAGAAGAAAATAATTCCTCTGCATTTCTTTAGATTTTTTAGATTTTTGTTTGACAAATTTGGACCGAACATTGTTCTTAATTTCGTATTACTAAAAGATCTTTTATCGATGTATTTCCAAGTATTTAGTACTTACCATGCTCCTCTCTCTATGTTGAAGCAATTTTACGGTACTCTACCTCATCTTATCATTTTCTGTACTATTTTAGTGTATAGCATTTTTGTTCTCTGTACCTTACACCGTTGGTGATCTACATAATTTTCAGGATTTTACTGCAGAATGCTTTCATTTCCGCTTCATTTTGTTTCGTTAGACTATTGTTGTAAAGGTTCATGATATCTTTTGTTTTGATGTCTTCTGGATTTGAATTCCAATTTTTCCATATGCATTGACGATGAAGTGGATTGTTTTCTTTTTAATATCACAAAAATGGGAAATAGCATTACTTTATTTGATAATAATGATAATAATTCGAGGTTCTTATATACCGCTTTATCACAACCTAGTTCGAAGGTTATCTCAAAGCGGTTCACAGGTATTATCCGTGGTTATAGGGCCTTTGCAACCAGTCAATATCTTTCTCAACTCCACGGGGAGCATACAGCCACTGCTGCCATTTCAGCGCTCACAACTAGCATTCAACAATTCTTGTACTGCCCAACCACATAGTCATTTACAGCTGAATAGACTGGAACAAATGGAGTAAAGTATCTTGCTAAAAGAAACAACACAGTGCCGTGCCGTGACTCGAACCCGCAACCCTTGGTTCACGAGCCCGGCGTCCTACCACTGAACTACCGTGCCTCCAGATAATTTACACTAAATATCTTTTGTACTATGATACTGATTGCATATAAGTTCAACTTGAAACATCAAGCATGTATATTTATCTGACGTCACAGGTGAAATATCAAGCATGTATATGTCTCTGACGTCACAGGTGTAACACGACTATATTACACTGAGAGCGCGTCTGCGCTTGCTCACACGAAGGAGTTCAAAATGTAGTATCGTTAAAAAGACCGTTAATGGATTAACCAGAATCTTAGTGGGGATTCTAAGCGTTATGATCAAAAGTATCTATTTATTGGGAAAATTGACCATATGGATTTTAATGGTGGGGATAATGGTATATAATTTAAAAGTATTTATCGGTGAAAATTATACTAAGGAACGATTGAGTTGTGTTTGTATTTATAGCATTAGGATTTTGTACCAGTTAATTTGTCCGCCCTTTTAACGTAAATATTATCGCAACTTAACATAATTAGCTTAATATAAAAACAATCGACATTATAGAAATAGTTCTGATAGCTGACTATACTAAGTGGCACACTGTGGTTCGTAGGAGAGCTAGTTTTACTGTTATATTTTCGAGGCAACGGTCATTTGCACTGTTTGCTTGCCAAAACAAATAAACGTTTTCGATAGCTCGCAAAACATACTTTCATCTACTGTTTGTATTCGAAACAGATGAATCTTATTCTGGAGCTTTGTGTTAAGTTACACAGTGTGTATTTCGGGCAGTGCCATTATGATATCAACTTAGAAACACATAATTCGAGTTTTTTAATCTACTTTATAGTATTTCATATCAACAGGTATAATCTTGATCCATTTGATAAATACACGGACGCAAAGATATGGGTAGCTCTGGAACAAGTCCACATGAAAGAAAAGGTGTGTTTCTAGATGTATTACTTTCCAATGTTTTGCTATAAACACCATCTTTTTTTATACATGTACGTAATGCATTAATTTGTTCACTGTTAACTGATAAATAGACGGGTCCATATATGTTTATTGTTCGGTTCCACTTTGCTCAATCACGCTAACTTCCTCTTCCAATAAAGGTGAGTTATGTTTAATATCCATCTGGTCTATAAGGATGTTATTGGTAACATCTATGTTTTCGTGCAAACGTATTTTTTTGTTTATGTCGCTCAAACAACAAATTTGCTGGGAAAACTCGTGACAGACCATAAATAATTTCCGTATGAAAATATTTGTCAAATATCAGCTTCGGTCTACCTCTTAATAATGTTGTAAGCATATTTTCTCTATTTTTGTTTTTCATTTAGATGAAACTGCTTGATCAGACTCTCGATTTACACATTGAAGAAAATGGAGAAAATTTCTCCGTCGGCGAACGGCAACTGATATGTCTTGCACGTGCAATATTGCGTCAAAACAAGGTGAGAAACCATTCAAAACAACAAAAAGGAATGTAATAAAAAAAAAAAAAAAAATATGATAAACTAAAGTATCAAAGTAGTTAAAAACAGGGTTTTTTTCTGATAATAATAAGATAAATGACAAGTAAACCCGTTTATTCAAACGAAGAACATACTGATTGGGAAAAAAGGACGGCATATTGTAGTGGTTCTTTTCATGCGCCTTTCTGTTTCATGTTTTCTCTATATAATATAATATCAACTTCAGGTCCTGATTCTAGACGAAGCCACAGCGTCCATTGACACGAAAACGGATGCTTTGATCCAGACGACGATCCGGGAAAGCTTTTCCGACTGTACTGTCCTTACGATAGCCCACAGACTCAATACCGTTTTACATTGTGACGTCATACTAGTTATGGAAGCTGGGCGGGTGATAGAAACTGGCAGTCCACAAACTTTGTTACTGAGTCCATATTCGCATTTTAACAATATGATACGCGCTCAAACTGTATTGTCACCAAAGTAATCAATCTATGTTGTTTTTGTAAACAGAGCTACAATAAATAGAATGTTATCATAAAATCTCTTTGATTTGTTTTGTTTGACGGCATAATTCCTGATTGTTTTAATTCACTCAGGATCCCAGAACAACTGCCAAAAACTGTAGCTAAATATTGGAAACTGTACTTCCTGCATTGTTTGGCTTTGGTTGATCAGTTCTGAAGAAACAAACGTACATTTGAAGGACTTTTATGAGAAATAATAAAGTTGAAATAAACCAACTGTAATCAACAACAGTGGTGTGACTGTAACAATTGAGCGGGACTAGCCCGGGATTCGAACTTAGGACCCGACTGTTATTCTACCGCTCTAGCCGACTGAGCTACCTGGTCATCGGAAGAGTTTTGTCAAAAGTGGGCTTAAGTTATATCGAAGCTGTAGTTACGGGGAAGTTACTGTTTATCGGAAAATACACAGTTCAGTGTTACAGGGATCCTTAGAAATAATCCATATTTATCGATATGTTGATATGTCAACAATGTGTCAATTTTGTGTTATTCATACGATATTCCTGGTCGCTGTGTGACGATTAAACCATACGTATGTCGGATTGGCGACTTTTGAAATTTACAGAAATTGAGAAGACACAACATGAAGGGGAAACACCATACACTTCCTCAGTAAAGCCAGAAGTACAAGCTTGTGTCCCAGAAGAGCAATTGGTTCGTGCAGTCCACATGACGATTGTCAGAGGTCAGAGGTCTACAGTCAAATCTAGAAAAAATAGTTATTTTTTTAAAGCTGAAGTTGAAGCTTTCCTCACTAAAACGTAACGCCACAGAGACATCAAACAGCACTCATAGTTTAACAAAATGTAACAATTACACAAATTACTCAGTTATAGCTTAACAAAGGGACCAGTTGGTCTTGAAACGTTGGCTCAGTTATAGCTTGACAAAGGGACCAGTTGGTCTTGAAACTTTTACTCAGTTATAGCTTAACAAAGGGACCATTTGGTCTTGAAACGTTTACTAAGTTATAGCTTAACAAAGGGACCAGTTGGTCTTGAAACGTTGGCTCAGTTATAGCTTGACAAAGGGACCAGTTGGTCTTGAAACGTCAGCTCAATTATAGCTTAACAAAGGGACCAGTTGGTCTTGAAACGTTTACTCAGTTATAGCTTAACAAATGGACCAGTTGGTTTTAAAACGTTAGCTCAGTCATCGCTTAACAAAGGGACCAGTTGGTTTTAAAACGTTAGTTTAGTCATCGCTTAACAAATGGACTAGTTGGTTTTAAAACGTTGGCTCAGTTATAGCTTAACAAAGGGACCAGTTGGTCTTAAAACGTTAGCTCAGTTATCGCTTAATAAAGGGACCAGTTGGTCTTGAAACGTTGGCTCAGTTATCGCTTAACAAAGGGACCAGTTGGTCTTGAAACGTTGGCTCAGTCATCGCTTAACAAATGGACTAGTTGGTTTTAAAACGTTGGCTCAGTTATAGCTTAACAAAGGGACCAGTTGGTCTTAAAACGTTAGCTCAGTTATCGCTTAATAAAGGGACCAGTTGGTCTTGAAACGTTGGCTCAGT